AAAACACAAATTTAGGGTTAGGAAGTTACCGTTAGAAGCCATAGCCATAGACTATTGCTCATTATATATAAAATTTCATAACAGTTTTTTTGGGGTGTATTTTTTTAGAATTAGGTGTCAGTTTTTAGGAGCAAAATTTATAATAAACAAATATAAATGGTTTTAGAGGGTTAAATATGTAGAATCCCTAAATTTCATTTTAATCCAATTTCAGTTACTGATGTCAAATTCCGAGCCTGCTGCAAAACGACTCTCCCTTGGTTCCAAACGTTCATTATCTTCTATCATAGCGTCTGTATCTCCTACTCCATTGGGCAAAAAAATGCTTCCAGAAAATTAACAAAGAGTGGCTTTAAGTCCCCATTAAACCTCGTACAAAAAGACCCAGAAATTAAAGCTATGATGGAAAAACAACAACAATTAGAAAAGGATATAGAGAATACAAAGGACAATATTCGAAAGATTAAATTATTATTGACTTATCAAGAAAAGGTATATATTTAAGATTTTTTTTTTTTGCATCGACTTTGACTTTTGCCAAATAATTTATACAATTCGACTTGAAATTAAGAATGAGGATGAGAATAATAATATAAAAATGGAGAAGTGCAAGTCAAAGTGCTGCGGAATTTTTATTTGAAAAAATACCAAAGCAAACTCCATCAAATTCTTGGAATTCAAATTGGGGATTGGAAGAAGACGAACAACAACAACAACAATACAATTCAGATCAAGATGATGAAAATTACTGTGAACAACAACAAGGCGATGTAGGACCGAAAGGCACGATGAAATATATGCTCGTGAAGATGGGAATTGATCTTGATCTGATCAAGTGGAATGAAGATGATGAATGTTTCGAGGATTAATAAATTTGTAATCACAATTATCGTCTAACGTTGTTTAAATAATATACATTTACATATTATTTTTTTAATCTTGTCGCGTAACGAATGGCATAATACGCGTCGCATATTCCTTATTTTGGGGGTTCGCTAAAGCTTGTGCCCACGTGTCCATAACATTTTAATTCTGTAATTACAGAATTAGGGTCTATCGTTATAATTAGCTACCCCGGTAAAACTACAGTAGAACTGTGAAAGATGCACCAATCAGATCAGGTGTAACGTGGAAACTATGTTTTTTTTTTTACGATAACTCTATATGAAAAAAAAAGTTTGATATAATGTATGGTCTATTCCAACCTTAACGCAAGGTTTTATTACTTTAAAAAAACAGTGCGTATTCTATCGTAGATCATGCATTTTCCACGGTCCCACTGAGGCAGCCTTTATAGTTAGAAGGCAGTTATATATGTAAAATTGCTTTCAGACAATTTTTTATGCCTCAAAGCTAGTTTAGACTGTCATTTTTCATCAATTTTAAGAAAAATAGTACTCAAATGAAATTACTGATTTTATGGTAATTACTGATTTTACGAAAATTACATACAGCAGTAGAATCCCAATGTAAATTATCTATATAGATACAAGTATTAAAACATTAATATTAAGATTTCAAAGGTGTAATTATGTTAAACATTTGTAAATATATAATCTAACACAGTTAAACGTAATCTAATTGTTTACATAAAAAAAAGAAATAATTCTAGGCTTCATGATATTTTTGTGATAAGATATACTCTTCCCAACTAATTTTTCCACTTTAAAAAATATAAATGAATAATGAATTAGTGAAATGTACAATTAATAATGCTTATATGTATGGAAAACTTACTCATTGTTCATGTCATCTTCTAATAGTGCGTGATCATTTCAACAATTTCTTCCATTTTCAAAACAGTTTATCTGAATTAGAGGTTGGAACCGGTTTTAATAATTCGAGTTTATCACGTGAATTTTGTGATATTTTAGAATTTAATCCAATTAAATTTTAATAAATTCTAAAATATCACAAAGTTCACGTGATAAACCCGAATTATTAAAACCGGTTTCAACCTCTAATCTGAATCTTCATCATCAGTAAATGCTCCGCGAAGCTCGTGACCATCCAAATAACCGTCTTGATTAGTGTCATGAATGGAGAAAAGGTAGTATAATTCATCCTCTTCCGATATCTCTTCGGGATGTGGGACGTCTTTTAGATGACTTTTTACATGTCTATCAAAGAATGTAATTTAGGTAATTTAGTGGAAATGAAAGCATTCAGAATAATCATAATCAAACGAATAAACTTACTCTTTGATCTTGTCCTGATCTCCATAATTTCTATGTTCACCTTGGTAATTTATTCTAACTTGTGCTATAACAAAATATGAAGCTAATACTAAGAGTAGAAATAGGATTAGGACTTTCTTTATAAGAATAAACGACATTTCCTGAATTTGTAAAGACTGTATATAATGGCAAGTATTAAAACTTTGTACTATAAGATTATCATGTGCATAATTTCATTAAAAAAAATGATCTAATTGAAAATGAACACGGTTTGTCACATCTAAAGTTTTATCGCCACGAAAAAAATTTTAATTGGTCATTGTCATAATGAATTTAATATATTTCGTGACGAAGCTCAATTTTTTTTTACAGTATACACTTTCATATTCCTTCTAAAGACACTAAGGATTATTAATATTTGATTCACTTCTGGTGTTGTTTGCATTTGATCTGAAGTTCTCTTGTTACCGTATAACCTCGAAATAACGCGCAGGGTGTAATTTCAATTTTTGGGCTAAATTAAGCTTAATTTAGGCTAAAAATTGGAATCACACCCCTGCACGTTATTTCGCGGTTATCGTTATACGGTATTAATAAATTGTCTCGTATATGGGTGATGTTTAAGGCTGTTAAGGGCACGTCGTTTAACGACAGGCTCTAATACTAGTTAGTATTAAAATTTATTGAAAATTGTAAAATATTAATAGTTTTTACTTTATCTTTCGGTTTTAGATTTGTGATTCTAATTTCATGTTCTTTTTAAAGTTTGTTTAATTTTTATTTTTAGCTTTAACCTTTATATTCTTAGAATCCTTCTTTTTAAACTTTACAATTATGATAATTATAATAATAAGTTTTAAATTAAATTCTTGTAATAAAACAGTTTCAGATAAGTTTTGGTCTCATCTTTTGGGCTTGCATATTTAATACTATATATATTATATTTAGAAAATGATTTTTATCAACCACATTCTGAAAAATGTTTTATTAGTTTAATAATTTTTTAATTTAATTAAATTTATCATCATTTTTTAAAACAACAAAAAAAGTTACAATAATATAAAGTTGGCTTTACTTATTTGTGCCAGTAATACAAACTCCTAAAAAGGAAATAACAAATCGGGGAGTTCGAATTTTGATCGTTCCGAATCAGCCCGATATGAATTCTGAACACGTGAGAAAGAAGAAAAAAGCGAAAATACTTAATTAAAAATGTCGGAAACGAAATTTTATATATAATGAGCAATAGTCTATGGCTATGGCTTCTAACGGTAACTTCCTAACCCTAAATTTGTGTTTT